GCCGCCCCCGCGGGCAGCGGCCGAGCCCCGCCAAGCGGAACCGAAAGCGCCGGGGGGCAGAACCGCCCCCGCCCGTCAAGAGGCCGAGGAGAGGCGGAGGGATGAAAAGCTTTATTGTGAGGAGGAGGAGAAGGTGGTCCTTCCCCTCGCCCCAGCTGACGCTGAAGTGCTCACGCTAAATGAAATACAGAGGTTGTATCTGCACTAGGGAATATATTATAAATTATACCATGCATCCGTTAACAAAATATACAAAGCCAACAGAAATACATTTTAAGCCTGAGCCTACATTATCTAAATCCTAGTGAACAGTAACCTAAGAAAGACAGCATTTCACACTTTGCCTTTCAGTCTGCAAGGACGTGTCTCTCCTCAAACATTGTAGTGTTTTGTTAATTTACAGAACACGTTAACAGGTACACACAGAAAGAACATGGGTCCTGCTGGGGGGTTCCAGATTAAAGCAGACAACCACACCACTCTAAGAAACTTCACCAGCTACTGCACTTCACCCATGTCCTTTCCCCCTCCTCGTTCTAGAGCAGGCATAAGCCAAAAGGTACTCAACGCAGTCAAGGTGGGGAAAAAAGCAGTTTCAAGTTACAGAAAGATCTTTATCTGGTCCACAGCAGACAGTTGTACTGGTGTACAGAGATGGGAAACACTGCAAAATATTTCTACTGTATTTCAAAATAAACATTTAAGAGTGTACCTTCCACAATCTATAAAAATAGGTTTAAAACAAAGATGGTATGGTACATTTTTTTCTTCAATTATTTTAATGGTATGTTATCTCTAAGGATATTTTATCTTTTAGAAAAATTACTACTGATCATCACAATACTGATACTGGTTCAGCTACATTGTGACAAAACAGGAACACCTCAGTTTGAAGCAGCAGTAGTAAAATATTTTAGGATTAATGGTCTCTTGCTGCAGCAAGGAAAAAAGTTTGCGTGAAAGTAAGAACATAGCCAACACTGCTGTCACCTTCACGGGACTGGACTCTGAAAAGCTATATATGGATACACCACTGCATAGCAGTGGATGTTGCTTGTTTCTTGTGATTCTTCAGAATCAAAAATCTCTCTCAGCACATTTAGAAGGGAATTCTTAGACTTCCAAATTAAATATGGGCATCTAAAGAAAAATCTCGTGAGAAAAAAAATGAATCCTACAGATGCGTCTATGGAAACACGGAAGCAGCTAAACCATCACAGAAGACTGTACACTTACAACTGCTTAAATTAATGCATTTTTCAAACTGTAGCGTAAGTCACACAATTCCTACCTCAATCACTCTTCGCACTCCTAAATATTACCAGAATTTGTACTCCAATTCAGGTCTAGGCTTCTACACAGTCTTCAATTCTTCTATGTGGTATTAACAGAGTAAGAGGTTTGCACTATACTGAAAACCGACAGTGGGCCAGTTTCTAACATTTTTACAGAAAGCCTGTAAAGATTTTTAGAAAGGCCTTTCCTACCCTTACACTCCATTTTTAACAAAATATTTTATGTAGGCTATATCTTCCTGTTTGAGGTATGTTTTGCACTATCATTACTAGAGATGCTTCGATTGCTGCTCGTAAACTCACTCTCCTGCTTCCTTCTGCTTCAAGAAACAATGACTTTCCTGGTAATCGTCAGTTTAACAGTGGTTACACTTCTGTGGAGCTGTTTGATGGTTCAAGACAGCTTTCGTGTGTGAGCAGCCTTTTCCTTCTAAGAATCCTTTGTAAAGTTTAAGTCTGTAACATTCCTACCACGCATTGGACAAATAAATTACTAAACCATACCAAGAAGAAACAACTTGCTAGTTGTGGGCATATCCTGTAAATTAGGCAAGACTACATTTTGCAGCAGCATTTGACATTGACTCCTATTACAAAGCTTGTTAAAAGTCAACAAAACAAGTTTCCAGCTGCCTTAAAAAACAAATCTTGCACACAATAAAAGGGGAAGTTCTCATTTGGGTGGAAGTTTACAGTAATTACACAGGACTCCCTGATAAAAGGATTCAGTATGAAATTACAGACTTCAAGACTACTCATTTAACTATGAGGTCCAAATAACAGCTGAAATTCTCGTTTCTAATTCATAAGATGCTGGGACAAGTACTGTTTGACATTTCCATGAGAAAAAAAAAGTCAAAACTCAAAGAAAAGCCAAAGTTTTAGCCATACCTCCAAACAGAAAGCAGCTGAGGAGCAGCCTGCTGCTGTTGCAGTGTTTAATAACAGTTTACTCAATGAAGACAACTCCTTCCCTCCACCAGGAAGGTTCAGCAACTACTGCTGTACCAGTCGCTATTACTGATCTGAAGCAATTCAGTTACCACTTGAACCATATTATTGTTGTGTTTCTTCAGCAGTCGCAGGTTTAACTGCCTGTCACAGAATCCCATCTCACACAGACTGGATAGAAGAGTGGCAGTGTGCTCTTCTGTAGCTGCAGGCTGCTGAAAACAAAAGGTAGTAAGATAAGCTATAAAAAGATAATTTATTTTTGCCATTTGAAGCAGTGGTCCTGCGCTATAGTGGAATATAATTAAGGCACAGAAGCCCTTTTGGCCACAATTAAGCTGTTTACGCTCACTTTCACTGTTCACTTACAAAGGTGAATTTCTTACATGATGCTACAAGAGACATGCTTCTATCCCCATGGTAAGGATTTCCCTATCTCTTGGCAGAGCAGCATACTTTTAAGGGATGCCATCAAGCTTAACATTTACTGTTGCATGAAGTCCTATATAGAGTACAGATACACTGTAAAACATAGACGTATAATTTTAAGGTTGGCATCCTATCAAACTCACATAGCACACAGGAAAGACATTTACCTGTTCTACAATGGGTGGTCCGGCAAATAATGCTTTGTAGGCAGAAGCAGCAACTGACAAAGCCCCTTTAACTAGTTCTCCTGCAATGCTGCTTCCTTGAGGGTATCTGCAGAGAAGTCAGGTATTACTTTAGGGTCAGTAGAGCCAAATGTTTGCTTCAAGCGAAATGCAAGTTTCTCCCTGTTGATGTGCCAACTGAGATCTAGTTCTTGTTGGAGAGAACAACCTAAGATGCAAAGGAATTATTGCTGTTCGGGAACTGAGCTATCCAGGAAGCTCATTTCTTCTCTCTTGATACCTTCTATTAAATTGTGGTTTTACGCTAGAGTAGCTTGCTTTCTATAACATGGCCATTTGTAAAGAATTACATATTTTCACCCAGAAAAGTACATCTATACATTAAAGCTGTGCACTGTGACACATCCATTCAGGCCAGAGCAACTTCCGTTTGTTTCCCATCAATTCTTAAGTCACTGAATACTCCGCTCAATGTTTTGTCTTATTCCTCCAGCCTCAGTATCTTAAGATGCTTAGCTCTGTAGCTAACTTACAAAATCCTTACTTCAAGAATCCTGAGATTTTCCAGGAAAAAAACACAGAATTTTAGAAGGATTCAGCTTGAGCTCTTCAAACACTTCTGCTTGCCAATTCTGCATCCTTCATATTCATGTTTAAGTAGAAACTGAGATCTTATGAAAACAGAGCATTATACAGTTCAGTGTACGTTTCCTTTCAGAAGGGAGGCCTTTCTACCAGAATACTGACTACATGATATCTATAAGCCAGTCCTTTTTCCTAGGTGCCTAATTTAGCAGTTCCTAGTTTAAAACAGTATTTGTGAAGTCACAGCTTCATTACCTTGGGTATTCCGAGCACTTTTGTTTGCTAGTTAGAAATCCAGAAGATCCTGGTCCATGACTATCTTCACCTCTGGCTTCTGAAACAGGAAGAAAAAATTATCATATCAACATACCCAGTCAATGAGAAGCTGAAGAAATGCAACACATACATAAATTAAAAGGAGTGAGATTCAGTCCAAAACTCATACCTTCCACTTTAGTTATCCAGACACAAGCTACATATATAGGATTCTCACTGCAGTCAAAACAATCAAAAGAATTTCAGGAGTCATTTGGCTGATTAGTCAGTGGGTGTTTACTTTAACACGACATGAACTGCGGTGTGAGCTCCCAATGACCGTAACAACAGCTTAAATACATAGCTCGTGAATTCCAGAGCTAGGTAATTTTCCAGACGTCTACAAATATTTCTGAGTACCCTCCTACTATTTCTAATGAATAGATGCCCTTAGCTGATCCACAAAGCCAGTTATTTCTTTAATAAAATATTCTATATAGTAAAATTTCAACACCAAGAGAAAAAGCAATCATTACTTGGTAGAATTCTGCTCTCCTCAAGAGCAATAAGACATCAAATCCAATGCTAGGCATAAGAAATAGGAAGTAACAACAACAGACACACCCTTCATTAAGTATTGTCAATACCTTCTCTTATTTGATTATGAGGAGTGGCAGAGATACTCTCTGAAGCCAGTACGTTTGGTTCTTGGGAGATAGGATTCTGAAGAGATGCAAGATCCCTGAGAACGTAAGGCACAGAAATTACTTTTACTACTTTCATTCTATATGTACACAAGTATGTAAGCCAAGATCAACAGACAAAAGAAAAAGCTTCACATGTTCCTTTCTTTCCCTCTCTTGCACTCACCTAATCAGTGAGTACAGGCTTTATAAAAAGTTGCAGGATTTAGGACATTCACTCCAGTATGTGACAGAACTTTAGCTGCAACAATTTCTGTTTGGACATTGAACTTAGGCACAATACCCTGCAGAATCTACAGCAACACTAACATAACCATTCTGTTCTTGTCCAAGAAGCATACCTTTGTGTCTGGGGTAAGGTGTCTGCAATCTCTGGGGTTAGTGGTACTACAGCCAGTGTTTGTGAAGTAGTCAAAATATCACTGATGCTGTGGATCTGTGGCTGGCTTCCCCCTCCTGCATTCTCTGCTTCTGTTTCAGGTTCTCCTGTCTTTTCCAAACTGGGCTGAGAAAGAGCCGAACTATACATCGACTCCCCTAAAGGACGACTGGTGTCAAAGCATTCAGGGAGAATAATGATATAATCCTCTGATGAAGCAGAGGAGCCTTGACTTTGAACATCATCTTTATCATCGTCTTCCTCTTCATCAGAATTACCGGCATCACTACAGGGGCTTGCCCTCTCATCAGACAGTGGAAGGTCCCCTAACATGAAAAAAAGAGGGAAGTATCCATACAAAATGGACAATTGTTAATAACAGCAAAGACAGAATTGTCCCAGATATACAAGGCAAGTATTCAGAAACAACTGGAAACCTTTGCTGCTGATATTAATGGTATAATTTGCTTTGTCTGTTGTGGGAAGGGTGTGGAGTGTGAAAGAGTAATAGATCTTACTGTTAAATCTATGCAGATATGCTGCTAATATTAACACTTATAATAAAACCAGAAACAAGAGCTACACCAAATTAAACAGTAGTTTTCAGCACTGAAATTACATGCATCAGAAAGTTCAAAGTACTGACTTCAAGCTACGCATACAAAACAGGGAAGGACCAGCCATACTTAACATATGAGCACTTATCCGAATACCCATTCAGAACCTTTATGTCTAAATTTCACCTTTTTTCTTCCCAAGCAGCTGTTAAACTAGCTGCTTGTTCAGAGTACTGACACAAATTTTCTGATGTAATAATGATTCTCTTAATCTATGAGGATCAATTTCCTAGAACATGTCAGATCTTTTTACACCTGATTATTTTTGTAGCCCTTATTACAGCTTTATCTTAAATTCAAACCTATTTTACTTACCACAGTCGTTTTCTGTCATTGCCTTTGACTGATGAATCTTTGCTTCCTTTTTGGAAGTGGAATTAGTATTTATTCTAGGAGATTCTTCATTTATCACATCGCAACTGAAGGTGTCATGCAATGTTTGTAAGGAGTCTAATAAAACAATCAGGAAAAACAATTCAAGTGTTATCACCCCTGCAGTGCAGGGCAATTTGTGGCCAATGTCTGACTGCAAAAAAGGAAAGCCACAGAAGCCAGCTAAAGACAGTACTCACTCTGGAGGATTTTCTTTTTTTGTGGGGGCTTATGGTCAGGTGCAGCATCCAGGGTTAGAGAGCGAATTACAGTTTCACAGACAAACTGAGTCCCACTCATATCTTCTTCCCCTTCATCCTGGTTCAATGTATGTTCAGCTTTCACTTTCGCTATGCAAGTGTCTGCAGGAAAGCAGGCTTCCGTCATTCCTTTGAAAGGGAAACATAACAGATTATTTTAACACCACCACAAGGAAATGCAAGTATAAGAAGAATTTTTTAGGCTAGTCAAGGCTAATACTGACTTTATGTATTTATTCTTTTTAAAAACTGAAATATTTTGGAATTCAGTTCAAGATGAATGTGCAAGTGACTGAGAAGTATGGGGGCACACCTAGAGCGTCTGAGCATAATCTAGACTATAAAGGGCAAATTACTAGTTCTCCCAACAATTCTGGTAGTCAGACAAATCAAGAGTAGTATTTCTGCTTCTGAATTGTACACGTATTACACTCCATCCTCTACCATCAGAGAGCCAAACAACTTTGTTTTCCCACAGAAGGGAAAGACAGGAGTTGGAATACTTCTTAAGACATCAAGACTGCTGACCGCACAGCAGTGACAACATCCTCCTCTACTCACCCCCAAGCTGCCCACGACTACTGCTTACCAGGCACTGGTTTAAATCCACTCCCCTCATTCTCCTCCTCTATTTGACCTAAGCCAGGTTTCTCCAGGAAGGGGATATCATGTGGCAAAGGGGATATGCATGGAGTCATGACTGAAAAACAAAGGTAGCAAATATAATTGGCACTAAGGGAGTAAGAACCTTCCTTCCTCCAGGAGGCAACCTTTTAAGTTACCCTTTTTTTAAGGGATATTCTTCCAAGACTGAAGAAACTCAGTTATCGTACAAGATAATTTAGTGAAATAAACATCTAGCTTTGCATTACACGGGCACAGGTTGAGCAAAGAAAATGGCAGCTTTCTTCAGTGTCTGGAATCTTATGTCTTGGGGATGTGGAGCTGAAAAGAAGCCAAGACTGAAAAATACAAAGGATACAAAGCACCATCAAGTATCTCCTCTAAGACTGCAGCAAGAATTAAAATGAAAAGACATGAGAGTCTGGAAGACACTCTAGCCTGAAGAGCAAATAAGCCTTTTGCACAAATTCAGCTTCTCACTGGGTAAACAGTTAACCCAGAATGCTAGAGACAGAACATGAGAAGAATCTTACCAACAGGAGTATTGTGTGGCACTCGCTCCAATTCCCGCACAATATTAATGTCCAACAGCTCAAAGGACAGCAAATCCTACAGAAAGAATCACCACAGTTTTCAAACCCTGAAATGGAATCTTATGCTGTACTTCCCAGCACCAGATCCCGTTAGTTTACAAGGAGGTCTACTCCACTTCGTTAAGCTACTCGACACAATCTCAGACAGAGGGCAGTTTTCTCATAACATACATCCACATCACAGAATATGGTACACAAATTAGGGCAGCAAGAGGCAAAGCTAAGTGCTCCCTTGCTAGGGGCCAAAGAAAGGCCCAACCCTGTGACTCTTTATTGAGAATCTTAGTCTGTCCTGCATGCTTTTTTCGTATAGTGACAGTCCCCAATACTAATTCAAGAAAATAGTTCTGCAATATAAAACGCAATATATTCTTTCTGAAAATACAGTGGCTATATTTGAACTCAGAAGCTTTTTATTCCTATGGATGTCTATGTACCTACATATCAAACCCAAGGTGGTTTGTTTTATTTCTACACGAATTTTAGCACTTTACCTGTGCAGTGAGGAGATCAACAGATGGGATATAAAATTCTCTCTCACTTGGCAGATTTTTCATCTTTAAAGGATTACTTGGGAGAGGTATTTCAGCCTGCTCCATGATTTCACTCATCAGCTGAGCACCTGCTTCTGTCTTTAAGGAAGCATCCTGGAAAAGCAAAACAATAATGTCCCAGAATCCCCGTAGGCAGGCAGCAAATAAAACAATTACATGAAATGTAAAGCTGGAGTATTGTTTATAAGAACATAGCAGCTTCCCTAAGGGCAAATCACGCCTGACAAATTGGTGGCCTTCTACAATGGGGTTACTGCGTTGATGCATCAGGGAAGAGCAACGGATGTCACCTACCCAGACTTAAGCAAAGCATTTCACATTGTCCCACATGACACCTTGTCTCTAAATTGGAGAGAGATGGATTTGATGGATGGACCACTCGGTAGATAAGGAATTGGCTGGATGGTCACACTCAAAGAGTTGTGGTCAACAGCTTGATGTCCAAGCACAGACCAGCGCCGGCAACACGGAAAGTGGGACTGAGAGCACACTCCAGACAGTTTGCCAGTGACACAGGCTGTGTGGTGCAGTCCACACTCTGGAGGGATGCCACCCAGAGGGACCTTGCCAGGCTTGAGAGGTGGGCCTGTGCAAACCTCATGAAGTTCACCAAGGCCAAGTGCAAAGTCCTGCGCATGGGTCAGGTCAATCCCAAGCACAAATACAGGCTGGGTGGAGAGGGAATTGAGAGCAGCTCTGAGGAAAGGACTTGGGGGTGCTGGTTGATAAGAAGCTCAATATGACCCGGCAGTGTGCACTTGCAGCCCAGAAAGCCAACTGTACCCTCGGCTGCGTCAAAAGAAGCCTGTCCCGCATGGCAAGGGAGGTGATTCTGCCCCTTTACGCTGCTCTGGCGAGACTGCACCTGGAGCCCTCAGCACAGGAAAGGCATGGACCTGTTGGAGCAGGTCCAAACGAGGGCCACAAAAATGATCAGAGGGATGGAACGCCTCTCCTATGAGGAAAGGCTAAGAGAGCTGGGGTTGTTCAGCCTGGAGAAGAGAAGGCTCCAGGAAGACCTTTTAACTGTCTTCCAGTACCTGAAGGAGGCCTGCAAGAAAGCTGGAGAGGGACTTTTTACAAGGGGATGCCATGACAGGACAAGGGGTAATTACTTTAGATTGAAAGAGGGTAGATTTAGATGAGATATAACAAATTCTTCACTGTGAAGGTGGTGAGGCACTGGAAAAGGTTACCCAGAGAAGTTGTGGATGCTCCCTGCCTGGAAGTGTTCAAGTCCAGGTTAGACAGGGCTTTGAGCAACCTGGTCTAGTGGAAGGTGTTCATGCTCATGGCAGGGGGGTGGTACTAGATTATCTATAAGGTCCCTTCCAACTCAAACTGTTCTATGATTCCATGGCAAGTAACTTGAAAAGAGTTTTAATTCAACTCATCTTAGAGCCAGAAGGACAAGATCTAACATAAACAGAAATCCTGCAGTGTTTCAGTTCAATCAAAGAACTAGACAAACAGCTGTAACAGAACAGTAACTAATCCCATGACTGTCGAAAAGAACGACCATTTCAGAACTTACAAATGCAGTAAAAGTTGTGTTTCTTTTCTATTAAAAGTTAGAAGCAAACAACAAAGACTCCCTTGGAAATCAATAGCTAGGGATACTACACCATTGCACCACACAATCCTCATCGCTCCTTCTACTAGGCAATTCAGAACTGCCCCAAATTCCTTATGAGTTACTTGCCTGTTTGGTGCTGGAAGCTTTATCCTTCTTAGCATCCTTCCAACTGCTTTCTAGATAGTCAGTAGCTGCGGAGGGATCCACAACAATACTGCACCAGATCCTGGGCCCAAACTGTTCCCCTCTGTGTGACAGTCTCCAGTGAGAGGTATAAGTTCCTTCTATATTAGGAGCTACAAACTCAACTGAAACAGTTCCTACTTGTCCCGGTGGAAGGGATGGCACTAACACATCTTTCTTTTCAGAAGATGCCAAGGTCAAGTTTCCCCACATCAGTTTCAGCTGAAATATACAACAGAAAAAGCAAAAGTTAACTTCACAAGCTTCTCTGCAAACTGTGGGCAGTGACGAACACGAATTAAAAGTTACTCTGCTGAAAGCCCTTGTAGATACCAGGCATGCAGAAGAGAGGCTGTTAGTAAACATTCTCATATTTAGTCGCTATGACCACAAAGTAAGATATCTCATCTCTCAACATGAACTCAGTCACTCTCAGAAGAAAGGCTTTCTGAAGTCAGAAAAGCAACACACTCGTTTTAAACAAAGTTTAACTGTAATATTATAAAAGCACTGGAAGACATGTCCAGTGATGTTAATCTTGATGGCTTTCCTCCTATAGTGTGCAGTTGTAAAGAGTCCCTAGAAAGCTTATCGCCCCAGAATTCCCAGCCTGTGAATTAACAGGCCAAATGAATCTTTAAACAGGTTCTGACAGAGAATATAATCTTCCAGAATCATCTTAGTGTGCAAAAGTAATAGCAAAAGCAAGATACCTTTGTGTCTGAGCTCCATTCCACATTGCCAGTATTTTTCATTTGCCAGTGTTTGACAAACTTTGTTCCTGGTTGCAGGTGAGTCCCATCTGGCAAATTCTCACCAGAAAAACACCAAAACTGAGGAAGTCATTCGGCAGCCATTCCACTGGCTGAAAATGGAGGAGCCATTTAGTTTTTCTCTAGAAATGTTTCAAAATTCTAACATTTTAGTTACTGTTTTCATCTTAAGTCTAAACACCACATAGCAGTTTGCTAAAGAAAAAAAGAAACACACCAATATTTGCTTATTTGGAAGAATACTATAATAATTACAGAACTGAGGTTTAACAGAGAAAAGTTCACAGTACTTCACCTGATTTGATTTAGTCTGACAGCACCTCAGGCTATGCTATTCTCTTCGAGAACGAAGTCATTATCTTTATGATGTTGAATCAAAAAGATTGTGCTACAGTCTAAGCACTAGTGTCTTTTACCTGGCCTCACAAACAAGACTTTTCAGCAAAATATCATATTTTTCATGAAAGGGGTTCAAGAATAGATTTAATCCAAAGCTTTACTGTTAATTTGGGCACACTGAGAGGCGACTGGTGAAGCAGCTCGCATGTCAACTTTAAAAGATCTAAAAAAAGAATCTGGACCTAAGTTAGCATTGGTTTTGTTCCTGTTATGTGCCTGTTCATCAAAAAGCAAGCAAAGATAGCTATTTCAAGCTCCTCACAAATGTGACTTGTTAATCTTAATTTGACTTATAAATGCCCTAACTGGAAGGGATGAATTAAAGAAACTAGAACTACACAAGTTTTACACCTGTACATTCGTAAAACTAAAGGGAATGGAAAATGCAAAGTGGTTGCCTGCAAAGGCTGCTGAATAGTGAGCCTCAGCCTAAGATCACATAAAAAAAGGAAAAAGAAAAAAAGAGCACTGACCATAAGCACACAGAATGCACGTGACTTTATGCAGACACTTAATCTAGCAGGAAAACACAGGCATTTTGAAAACTGGCAGTAATGTTACTTTACACTGTATGTGCTGGCGTGAGTATATATGTAATCCTAGGCATTCCCCTTCCTCCTAAATCTATATAAATCTGTGAGTTTTCAGTAATAACCACTAGTTGCTTTTTTTCTTCTCCTACTCTCCTCCCAACTAAAAACAATAAAAACCACTCCACCTTGCAAATTCCATTTAGACAAAATTGTCACAGGGTCCAATGACAAATGATGCTTTAAATAAGCGACTTCATAGCCTTCCTCCTGTTACTTTAACTTGGTTTCATCACAAATGGACAGACAGCAAAACTAACAAATGCTCATCTAACAACATCTCTTACAGGAAGGTATTAGGTTGGAGACTCTCAGATTTCATAGTAGTTGAGCCACTCGTTTCCAATACATGGACAGAGTTCCACAGATGAATTTTCCTGTGTAATTTTAGCTGCTTTTTGAGCTCTCGGACCTCTGCCTTTCGCTGTTTCTTCTCTGCTCGTAATCTTTGCTTTTCTGCTTTCAGAAATCTTTTGTCCATCTGTTTCTGGAGCCTGAAGAGAGAATAAGTCACCTTGTTACAACACATTAAATTGACTAGAATTTAGCTTTAGCCAACACAGTCTTAAGTCTAAAAGGGAACACTTCAGGAAATTTCTCACACTCTAGACTGGATACCAGATGATTTTAAAAGAACATCTTCATGGTTGCTTGTGAAGATACTTTAAATGGCCTCAGTGAAAAAGCAAACTTAAAGGCAGATCAGAATATGCTGAAAGAAAAAGTAAGCTATCAAAGTTTGCTAACCACCTATGACACAAAATTCTGTCTTTTTTACATTGTCATTAAAAATGCTCTAAGATTTGTGACTTAGGCCATTTGTAAGTACATAGCTATTGTTAGCTACTAGCAATGAAGTTTGAGTACCATTTCCATTCCTTGCTGTCTCTAAGTCTAAAATAAAGCCAAACATCAACCCCAATATGGGCGTTTCCACTTTGCTATCACGATAATCTTGTCAGGTATTGACAGGTGCCACCATTTACCTAACTTGCTCTAGAGTAGCAGGCAGGCGAGGTGAAAACTCTGCAAGGCTGTAATTCTCAGCAATACATAGTACAGGTCTTCGCAGCTTTAACAAGACATGATTAGGGTCATGTGCAAATGTTCCTGCTTCACACTGTTCACAGATATTGTAGGCTGGACAAAGGCTGCAAAGCAGAGAAGGCAGGTTACCAAGAGACAGACAAAGAATTAACGCACTAGAAAAAGACAATGACAATTAATCCTTACATTTCTGCAGGAAAACAAACTCTGTATCATCCTACCATTCAAGTAGTGCTTGAGTAAAACAAAAACTGGTTCTCTTACTTATAAATCAGTATTTGGAGCCATCTGGAATATCTAGATCAGTATCTCTCTTCTTGCCAAAACTGCAAGACAGTTCTAACTTCCTTCTTGAGCACACATTGAAAAAACCTGATGCTTCCTTCAGCACAAGTGACTAACAATTCTTGCTATAAAGGATAAAACATTATACTGAAATCCAATGCCGGAAACAGCATCATAGTTATGGAAATACAGAGGATGAGTCAACTGAAGTATTCAGGGATACAAAGCAGACTGCTCATGCACAAACATGACTGGTAAAAAACAAACTGTCAACTCCTGTCAGCAACAAACAGCCAAAGAAAAACTCCTGTTGGCATTCCATTCACTGCTGCTGCCTAGTCCTAAAATACTTACCTTTACAGCAATTGCCTCATTCAAATAAACACTTCACTTCTAACACTCACCAAAACCTATTTCATATTATTAAACTGACAACAGTGAGATCACTAAAAAAAACATGACCTGCCTTAGTCTCATTGACTGTGAGAACTAAATAAAGGACTATTACAGCCTGGTGGTTAAAAGTTTGGGGGTTTTGTTTCGTTTAATGAACTGAGTGAAACATTTTCCTTTACAATTACTGCATGCTATATGCAAACAAGGTAAAGAGTGTTTGAAAATACAGCAAAGTGTTATAAAGTTCTCTCACTTTAACAATCACATTTCCTCAGATTAGTATTAATCTTGCTCTTATGCAGATAAGCACCAGTCACCACAGCAGAGAACATAAGCTGTTTGTGAGACACATACTAGAGGTTCTGAAGTGTACAGCATGCTGCAGATTAGAAATCTCTAAGTCTACAACATCAAGACAGTTTTTCAGACTCATTCATATGCTTTAAATGTTAGGTTTCCCATATTCCCATCTCTCATCATATTCTACCTGCACTGGTAGCGAACTCCAACAATTCGGGCCTGGCAGTTGCAGCAGGAGATCAGCCAGTCATACTGGTTGCCATTCCCTAACTGGCCTTCTGAAGTTGGAGGTGCTGCTGCAAGAGAGCTCTCAGAAAAATCTGGAGGCTGACTGTGATGAACAAGCTTCTCGTATAGCTTCTGTTCCAGTTTCTCAACAGTTTCCTTAACTACTTGTTCCCTGAACTGGAAAAAAAAATTAAAGTAGTCATGGATGAGACCCACCCATGCAGCTTCAAAAATTGGATTACATTGTGCCAAGACTCCCAATCCATAAATCATAAAGCAGCTCAGAATGCACTTCCCAGCCCTCCAGCATATTCAAGACGAACTCAAACAAGTACCACATTCTTCAAAGAGGATTTGTATTTTAGAAAATATCAGCCCAGAGGTTTTAGCAGAGCAAATCAAAAATCCTATATTCGTGTTTACAATATTAAGATTCTTCCATAACCTTGCACAAAGAGAAGGAAACTAATCTCCGAGACAATTAACACAATTCTTAACAAATCCCTCTGGAGTCTCTATCATTAAGTCCTGATTTTGTCCACCAGTGACGTTTTAAATATAACCACTATGTTCCCCTATCCTTAGTTTGTATAAAGAGGTGGCAAAGGAAGGGAGATGCTAGGGGAAAAAAAAGGCTTAAAGATAAATGCATATACTATTATACTACTGTACCTTTTAGTTTCAAGAACTCACTAGCTAATTAATTCTTAGCATTCATATTTAACTGCTTCTCAGCAGTTTAACAGCTCTTCAAAACAAGTTAACACCTACACCTGATTAATCTAGAGGTTATACTCAATGGCCTTCTGAAAGTATTTTCAACTGAACAATCAAGAAAAGCAAGGTCACTAAATTCTATACTTCAAATCTCAGAAAACCCTACTGCACTACTGAACTTGTCAAACAAGATTTGCCAACAGCAACACTGTGTTTCATGCTCTGTCTGATCATAGTGCCCTGAAGTTCCTATGACTACCTGGAGTGCAACAAGGATTCTAGCATGGGAGCTAATTAAAACTACACTCAAACCAACCAACTGCATAAACCAAACAATCTACTTTTGACAAGAAGTGGCATGTATCAAACTTTCTTTAAGGTAACACCTACACTGTACAGTTATATTTAAACATCTAGTTTCCATTTATCACCACAAAAGTAGAGTGATTATATGCCAAATGCCCTTTAAGATCCTGGTCGCAACTTCTGAGAGTGTGATCACATGCATAGAGTTAGGCACCACAGGTATCTTTTCCACCAATAGCCTCTTGAGTATTCCTTTAAGAATACTAAAATTCAGAAGAAAACACACTTACTGTTTCCAGATAGCTAGTAAACCATTCTGGCGGATTTTCATTTGTTCCTCCTGTTCCAGGGTGATTTAACTTTTGCTGGGGGGGGGCAAAAAGCAAGAAAAACAAACAAAAAAAACTACACCACAAGTCACAAACCGTAAGTATGCAAAGCTGCAAAAAAAACCTCAATACAGCAAGTTAAGCACTTTCAAATAGCTATCTCATGAAATGTCTTTACAAAAATAAATTTTAAGTTCTCCAGAAAACAGCAGAAAAGCAATACAAGGAAGCCATTAACATTTTCCTGAAAGATTCCTGCCTTATTATCATTTGAGTGTAATTGCACATCAAAGCCAAAGAAATCAAGCCAACCAGAAGTTACTAGATGGCAACCAGGGCTTCAGGAGACCACTTGCTTTGTTCATCATAATACTTAACAATGGTTAACATGCAAGAATCTGTATTTCTAAATGCAGCATCAAAATACCCTCTTGAAGACATTCAAACAGATCTGCAAGCTTCAATGTGCAGGTAGTAGAAAATGAAGACCAACTTCTGAACTTAGTGTTTTTATGTATGGGTAAAGATGATGATCAGTCTATAAAGTGAATTACACTTACGAATTCTTTGTTTTTACGAATATATAATCCAGCTGTGCATCCTACCTGAACTGTCAGCTCCTTTTCATTTTTTAAGTCTTCCTCTAACCCCTGAGCTAGCACGGAATAGTGTGAAAGAGGTTTCTTCTCATCTGTAAGAGGTGCCAACTTTTCTGTCACAGTTTTTTCATGTAGTTGCAAAGAACAATATGAAGTTTCTTTCAGAGAAGAGTTTTCTTCATACACATTCATCTGAAGTTGATTTCCTTGTTTAACTGCAATCTAAACAGACAGTACATACACACATCATGTTTACTCCACTTACAACCAACATACAAAATCCCATAAAAATACAGCACTACACTACAATGGAGAGGTTGAGGAAAGACTAACACACACAAAACGAAAAACTGAGTGAAATGCCAAGGTACAGTCAGCTGATAGTCTATTCTGGTTTTCTTCAAGGTTACCAATATGCTTATTGAAAAGTTTATTATAAGCAAAAGGTTAATTATGCAGATGGTCTGCAGGAATCTTTCGATCTACAATAAAGCTGTTCATATGAGCCAGAAAACAATAGAGATTCTGTCCAGGAACTTACAGTAAATTTTCATTTATGATTATTTTCAAATTATTATCAGATCTGAAATTCAGGCCATGAACAAAAAGTTCTGAAAGCATTAGTATTGTACAACTGAAATTTAAAGGAATGCAATTCTTATTTTGCCTAAATTAACAGCTTATAAAGTAAATAAGCATTGATACCAATTAAATCAGTGACCATAGCTGGAAAACTGAGCTATTCTGATTTCTATGGGCCAGGTAATGCTGTTTTTTTTTTCTCAGCTACACCCATTACTATTGGAGAAGGATGACTATATTGAAAAAAAGTCAAAGAGAGCATTTACCTTCAGAGCTTCTTCATATTCCTCTAAAGAAAAAAGGAAAGAAATGTGAATTTTCTCTGTCTCAGACAACAGATGTAAGTTTGGTACATAGAATTTAGGGACCATTACATCAAGGAGTGTCTCCCACAACTCTTGTAAATTCCTTTAAAATAGCACTACTGAAGGAAGAAGTTGTATATATGGCAACAAACATGTTCTCACAGCTTAAGTCCATTAAGTTAATGGACTTAACATTCTATTAATTTACTCATTTTTGATTTATTTCTATAGATCAAAAATGCCTTCCTTTGGGAAGAATTTGATGCCACACATAAAATCCAAAACTCAAAAAGCAAGCATTCTCAATTGCTTCCCCAAAAACGTGAACTGGGGTCTGTTTACTGATTTCACTTCAGCAGAGTAGCAGCTCACCTTTGCTATTCACAGAGACCTGCAAAGAGAAATAACAGTGAGTAATAGCCACTGATCTATTTCTGTGATTCTCTTAAAATTAACATGCTTTCAGATTAAATGTACTTGTATTCAGAGCTTCTAAAATACCACTCCTCCTTCAGATATTTGTTATTGCTGCCATGTTTAATCATTAATCAGTGTTATGGTGTTCTGGAGCAGACCATGTTCTTTACTAGATTTGCAGAACAAGCAAGACCTCTGGCACCTATTAGCATCCAGAACAAGTGTGGTCTCATCTAATTAAGCTGGTGCCAGCACCACTGGGTGTGCTATACAAGTACACAAAGTTTGGACCCAGTTGCTTTTAATGCCCAACATGAAACACTTAACTGTTCTTTTGACTTAGATACAAGCCAAGCCTATCTTCCACAGGTGCTCATTTATCAATTTTGCACATAGAAGATGCTAATACAAGAAGCTATTTAATCACTATAGCACTGAATGATTTTGAACAATACTGTATTAGTATTTGAAAAAATTCTTTAACAGATGTATCTATATATTTATATAGATACAGGCTGGCAAATAAGGGCAGAATCTTTCCCTGAAATACTGCTAGAAGCATCTTGACATTTCTATTTAGGGTGGGAGAAAAAAAAAACACCAAAGATTCCCATCTCTGCAATTTAGTAGAGTTACAAAACAAGTAGTGGAACACAGAGCTTGCACAAGTTATGTTCTGTTTGAAAGCTAGATTCTACTCTAAATCTCTAGATAAACAGAAAGAATATGAGAGGGTGAGGTTATGCCAAGCAGAAAGTTACTCAACCAGGACAACTAGAAGTAACCAACTTGCTTTCTGAGTCACTAATCTGCTTGGAGATTATAGCATTTGCATAAAGCAAGCAGAGGATTTGAGTACACTGTTATCACTGAAGTAAACATATGCTAATAACAGGGGACCTACATTTTTCAGAGGAAGGAATGTAGATTGAAGAGACAGGGCTTTACCATGGCTGCAAACACAAATAGTTACAACTACCTTATTCTAATAAAATGAAAAATAAAAAAGCCCCTCAACAGAAGCATCCCTCCCTCAGAGCACACGGAACCACTGGCTATTTCTATTGGGCAGGAAAATGAAAAGCAGCAGCTTCTAAAAAATATTTAAAAATAAGTATGCTACATTAAGAGTGAAACCACAAGAATAATAGCTATTTTCTTATCAAAGGGGCAACAATGTCCCCTCAGATCCACATAACAGACACTCCTGAAGGACCACTACAAATTACCGAGAGGCAGAAAGGTTCACAAATCATATTCTGGCAGACCTTTTGGGAGGGTGGTGAGTATTTTACCTCATCATTATCCTCATCAATGTATTTGATCTGAATGTTGTCCAGGTCAAATGAAACGTTAACCTGAAAGGAAAACAGAACACAAAATCGCAATAAGAAAGGACTAGATATGTTTTCAGTTAATCACAATTATTAATAGTGAAAAATATTTTAGTCCTTCTGCCCCTCCCTTCAGTTTCTCAGTTGAAATAAACACTGTTTTGCCAAATCCATTCTTCTAGAGTTGAACAACCCTCCCCAGTGCCTTGTCTTCAACCTTTACTGACTTTCTATAATGAAAAGAAAAAATTAATTTCTTTTCATGTTTCACCTTGTCTAGCTAATGTTTACCCCAAAGTAAATAACAACCATTCCATTATAAGAGGATTGGCTCAGGGTTAACGAACTCAGTCATGGTAAACACCACAATATACAGAGGCTAGAGCCAGCAATCACTGAATACTATGCTAACTTTTACATTGAAAAACACCAGGAAGACTGCTCACACAGGTGAGCAGCCTTTCTTTCACAAACCTACTTGTGTTTTGAGAAACCAGGATTAATTCAAGTACTAAAAAGAGCAAAGTATCTCATTCACTACTCACTGGCTGATGCACTGTACATCTGAACATACAAATCCATTCTAAAAATCAGAATTAGGAGGATAAAGCGGAGTAGCTATTTTGTATTTTGCACTAATAGGTCAGAACAAACAGTATCAAATGAACCATAAATGAAGGCAGTTGTTCCCCTATGTTGAATAACTGTCTTTGAGGCTCATGTGCATTTTTATATCATTTACCTACACAAGCTGTATTTTTCTTGACAGAAACTCTCTGAAAAACTGCTGTATCTGGCACACATTTTGCTAGCCTGTACTTAACAGAAGAATATCAGCAGCCTTAGAAGACAGCAGATGGTGGGGAATTACAGAGCACCACAAGAGCACAATGACATAGCCACATACATTCTGCAATGAATGTGCTATAGGCAGGTTCTTCCAGTGGTATATCCCAAATTAATTTTGGGAGTGCAGCAAGAGAATCAGCTCAGCTTGTCAAGAAGAAACTGTGGTCTGTATCTACATTGTCTAGTACCACACATTGTTCCCCTAAAACTCAAGCTAGAACCAGAGATCGCGTTATTCCTTATACACACCAGATGTTTAATAACACATTAAAACATAGGACAGACATAGTTTAACTGATACTACCTTGAAACAGTAACTCACACAACACAGCGCAAAGACACCCAGTGGTACTGCCTTCGTTATGGAAACATTACTGTAATAGAACACCACACCTTGAACAAAAACATCGTCACTCGCAGAATACCTAAGATTAAGGGCAACACCAGGCTTACACAGCAATCTGCTTCCAGCTTTGATGCAAGCAGGTTTCTGCCTAGTTCAGACATTCCTGCAAGCTCTACTTGACACCAAGTATTTTAGGCATGAGCTAGTGCCTCTTCTAGAAGACTGAAATACAGTGAGTGAAGGTTATGCAGTTCAAACTCTAAATTTGAGTCATTCACAATGCAAGAACCTCCTACAAGGTACGCTGAAATATGTTAACTAAAAAAAGAACTGAAAGAGAGAAACAAAATACTGGCAAGATCTTTTAAGATGCAACTCAGAGTAAGCTAAAAAACAAGAACAGTTGCTACAGAAGAACAACAACAAAAAAAATAAATTACTGCAGCTTCATCATAACCAAGGGAATACTTCCCACACAATTTCAATCTCAGCCAGTACAGGAATTTTCACTAAATAGCACTGGAAATAAACATCCAAAGCAAAACTACTTAATACACTAAGTTCATGATATACAGACCTTCATAAGCAACTGTCTACGCATTCATGGCCCACTAACAAAAACAGTTATATTCAAACTAGCACACACAAGGCAGCAGGAAGCAAGAAATAAAAAAAGCCATGTTTGTGAATCAGTGTCCCAGACAGCAAAGATAAATCTTTCGGGAAATGTTCTGTAAAGAACAGAAGAGTGTTACTTGACCGTATCTACTTGAATGAGTAAAAGAATGGCAGATAAAGAGGCACAGACTGCTCTTTATAAGGGTACAGTGCCAAAACCAAGTATCCGTAACTGTGGAAAAGAGCAAAGCACACAGCTAAGGCCATCTGTTCACACAGAAAAACAAGTGACCCGTAAGAGGCTTCATCCAAAAGGGGCTTTTCACGCCACTCTACATACGTAACAGGAGTAAAAGTTACTGTTAAAGATAAAATGGAGACTGCAGCAGAATAAAACACGACTTCTAACTGCCTGTGAAATGGGGGACACGGCTTAGGAAGCCAAGCGAGAAGATGCTGGGCCCTCGGAAAGGCGCTTACACTCCCAGCGCCTCACCGAGCCGGCTCCCCACGGCTGCGGCAGGGGGGCG